GATACAGGTTTCTCACCAACTAGGAATAAAGAGACTAAATGTGGGCATATGGTTAAACTACAATGCATCTTCACATTTGTCCAACACATTTACAAGAAAAACACCATTGGGAAACCTCACAGGACAGAAGTGTTTTAACACCAAGAGAACTACTAGTTTTTAATTAAAAATCCAAACAGGGTGGGGTTGAAAAAATTTGGAAAGGGGCTGGAGCTGGAGCCACCATTTTTTAAAAATTATTTTTCAATATAAAATGAATGAGCTGGAATAGACACAATGTCTTACTCTGTGGAACCTTGCAAAAGTGAAGAAACGTTGAAGGGTTATTTAGGGCAGCTGGCTGATGTCAAAGCTGCCAGAATGCTAATTAACTGCAGGCTGAGTCTCTTACTTCTGTGTATGTATGTATGTATGTATATATATATATAAAAAGGAGCCTTTTGTATTATGGCATTTTTTTTTCTTGCTGCTGTATTCATACATCCCACTGCAAATCATCTTTCATTTTTCATTCTGTTGACCCGGGTATTATTTCTTTTCAGAAACAGGAAAAAAACTGAACATCTGTGTCTCCTTCCAATATGCTACACATCTGCGCGTTCTGTAGCGGGGTCTTCAAAGTTCAGTTAGCAACCCACGGACGCCATTCATCTTCTTGTTAAAATGTCTACGGCTGTAGCCAATGCTCATGCCCTTGAGGGTTTCCTTTTTTTTTTTTTCCATTATTGTATATAAAGAACATTGTGACTTTTAATATTAGCATTTTTGCTTTCAACAGCAATTAGCAATCTCTTGGTTTGCTGTTTGGTAAAGCATCGGTTAATGAGGTCATCTAGTTTAAAATCCCAGCTACTGGAAAATAACAGGGAGGAGGTCAAATCTATCAATTCATGTTATATTCTCTGCTCTTTTCAGTTCTCTAAGGAAAAGATATCTTTGTTATCCACAATAAAAGTCATTACGACCCGTTACTGGCCCTCTGTTTTACTACCGCCTCAAGATACAGTTAGGTTTCTCTCTTGCTGAAGTACTGAAACAGGATAGTTCATCTATAAACAAACAAAAAAACAACTTTGAGCATCTGAGGATGAGGAACTGGTTTCGTGTTGGTTGTGTTGTCTTTCCTCCGACAGTCCTGATGTGCCGTCTAGCGAGGGGTCGTCTCTATGGTGGAAGGGGTCCCCGGGGTGGTGGACCTCGGGGTGGCTGCTGGTGGCGTGTCCATCGGGCTCCCGGCCCCGCTGGTGGGCGTGGCGGAGGAGCTGACGGCGGGCGTGTCCCCCTGCTGCTGGGCTTGCAGGGTCTGTCCGCAGATGTGGTGGTGCTTCTCCCAGTCCTTGTGCTGGCAAAAGGAGCCGCAGTACCGGGCCGTGTTGCAGCCGCTGCAGGTTTCACTTGCTTTACGACCACAATTCCAGCAGCTCTAAAGAAGGCAGAGGAGAGCGAAATCCCCAATTAATACAGGCCAAAGTCTGAGGAAACATGCTGGGCAGCACAGGCCCCTTATTTTCAAGAACTATATGTAAGAATGAAAAATACAGGTGTGTGTGTGTGTG